GAATGCCCACTGACCACAGACACAGGAGTGAGTCCCAGGGAACTGCCCAGCTGAGCCTCTCTGACCTCAGCCCAAACTGCAAAGCCACAGAAATGTGAACTAAATAAATATTTGCTCTTTTTTTTTAAATTAAGATTTTGATTTATTTGTCAGAGGGAGAGAGTGCACGCACAAGCAGGGGGAGTGGCAAGAAGAGGGAGAAATAGACTCCCTACTGAGCAAGGAGCCCAATACGGGGCTTGATCCCAGGACCCTGGGATCATGAGCTGAGCTAAAGGCAGATGCTTAACTGACTGAGTCACCCAGGCATCCCAGTGAACATTTGTTCTTTAAGTCACTACATTGTGAAGCGGTTTATTTTATTTACCTACTTCCTACATATAGGACAGTTTTTCCTCCTGGGTTCTTTCTCCCACCATGCCAGGCAGTAGTTCTCTTGCTGTATTTCTACAGTGTCTGTCTGCTTATCTGATCCTTGGTGTCCTGATTACTGAGCACAAAGTATTTCAAGAGTTATTTGTTGTGTTGGGTCCTATGCTAGGTGATGGGGATTCTGAAAGTTAATAACATGCACATGTTACCTTAGGTTATATGCAATGGGTTCTGGGCTTTCTTCTGTTCACCTAATTAGATGAAAACGTGGAAAAGATGAGCATTATTGAAAAAGAAAAATAAGTGGTTAACACCAAAGAAACAAAACAAGACACAAGCACAAGTGAGTGGTTTGTATGGGACACTCCTGTCCACTTGTGCACTAGGAATTAGAACTTTGTGTTCATTTGTCTTAATATCCTAGAGCCTGGCAGAGTACTGGGGAGAACTAGTGCTAATTTTTCTTCTCTTTCCCACCACTTCTCTCTATTCTTATTCATGGACCCAATTGCTTCAGTTAAGGTGTTTCCGCATCTGGGTCCAAATGATTTTTTATTTCTCTCTAACACAGGAGATGACATGTTTTAGTAATGGTGCTGGGGAGGGTAGAGAAAAATCAAAGCCCAGACCACAGCAAGCCAAACTCCAAAACTGTCTTTGGATTTAGGTAGATTTGGTTTGAATCCCAGCTCTGCCATTTCATGATAGTGAAATTAAGTCTCAGTTTAAAAAATATGTATAATGAGGGTTTATCATCTGTTTTATGGGATGTTGCGAGGACTTGAGATAAAGATTTGGGATCACATACTAATGCCCTGGCAGAAAGGTTAAAGTGCCCCCAAGTGACATTTTAATAATCCCTCAGAATATGAAGAGCTACACATAGTTATGATCAGTGGAGTTCAGCATTCCAAACAATTACTGTTTACTACTTTCACAGGAGGAAGGGGGCAGTTTAAACAAATAGATAAGAGGCATTGTCTTAAGATTTCTACTAAACTGGGGAGGTATTTGCTACTTGGTTTTGGAGAGAAAATCAAAGATTTGGTTTTAAAGTCTAGGAAGTGCTAGAAATAAGAATACCTTGATCTGAAAATCATTAGGAATTATCTGGATACTGACAAGTAGTGCAAATGTTGTGAGAGAATTTCAGCAGCAGAGGATTCTGGATAAGAAATTCTCTGTTGTATTTTGCAATTAATGTATACATTTTTCTCTTTACTTTTATCATATTTTTATAAGAAGATGTTGAATTAGGAAAACAAGGATGAAAATGTCAGACTTTTAAAAAAGTATTTTATTTATTTGACAGAGAGATACAAGTAGGCAGAGAGGCAGGTGGAAAGAGAGGAGGAAACAGCTCCTCACTGAGCAGAGAGCCCGACACAGAGTTCAATCCTAGGACCCTGAGATCATGACCTAGGTCAAAGGCAGAGGCTTACCCCACTGAGCCACCCAGGCACTCTGAAAATGTCAGACATTTTAGCAATAAAAATAGTTTTAACAAAATGATGAAATTATAGATTTTCCTACAACCACACAGGGCTAATGAATTAGAAACTAGAAGGATTATGATGTATGCTTTTTATTTTTTTGTGGGGGAGGGAAGGCCAATGTTCTAAAGTGATTTTGTAAATGGCTAATTCCTCCCAAAACAGAGCCTCAGTTTCCAATGCCATTCCTGCTTGGATTCTATCCCTCTACTTAACATAGCAGACACAGAATTACTGTAAGATTTGCAATGAAACAGTGCCAGTTGTTTTAAAACGAAAACTTTGCTCCCTGGGGGAAATAAGTTGCTAGGTAAGAAGAATGAAATAAAAATCTTTGATACATGACATGAATCTTTTGAAAGAGACCATTTGAGGGTCTGAAATGATTGTCATGTGCTAGACTGATTCAAATCTACTATAGTGCAATTAGCTAAGATAATAAGCCCCACATAATCTAACTTCTGCTTTGTTAGCCTAAGGTATTTTCTTGTAAATTCTTCTCTTTCTTTTTTTTTTAAACATTTTATTTATTTATTTGAGAGAAGAGAGAGACAGTGAGAGAGAGCATGAGCGAGGAGAAGGTCAGAGGGAGAAGCAGACTCCCCGTGGAGCTGGGAGCCTGATGCGGGACTCGATCCCGGGACTCCAGGATCATGACCTGAGCTGAAGGCAGTCGCTTA